AGGCTTTGGTTTTCTTTTTTTTGCCTCTAGTGATGTTTGTTAGTGTGATGTTTTTAGGTCCATAGGTATATTTTGTTTATGGCATCTTTTAAGTGATTGAAATGTCCGATTGTTATTATAATTATATCATCTTTGTTTTCTTCTTGACCCCATAGAAGTCGGTGGGGTGTAAATTCCTAAAAGGTCACTCAACATAGAATTCGTTTCAAGTAAAACATATGTGAGCATAAAGTTCTCATGAGCTATCGATAAGGATGGTGTATCTTACCGGTAATAGGTAGTGATTTTCAATTATTTTGCCTTTCATTATCTTATTTCGCGTTTTTTGTCTGTGATTTTTCTTTTTTTTGTGTGATCCACGAACACAAATAATGATTTTGATATGCATTTTAACTAATGCCAACATGAGTATAGTTTAACGGATATAAAATATTTATCTTGATCAAAAGGTTAGAGGTTTGAATTTTTTATATTTAGAAGACGTTACAAATATAAATTACATGATAAACTAAAAATATAAATGTTTCCGGTTTTTTGTTTCCGTTTACTTTTTTTGTTTTTATTTCCTCGTTTTAGGAGAATGATCATATTGAGTCATGACTCCAAAAATGGTTGCAAAGCCTCTCCTTTAATTGAGCACTGCATTAACCATGGTTACAACTCTTGAAAAACTTCATGAAAGGTTAAGAGTTTTCATTTCGAGGGTGAAAAATGCAGTAAAATGAACAAGTTTCTTTGCAGTTATGTGTAGTTTAAGTTGCATGTAGAATCATTCAAACGTGACATGATCGATCTTACCTGTAAAGTGATTCGATTCGGTTTTATATCATTTTATTTTATATGATTTGTATGAAAATATGGCAATGAAGTGGATAATAGAGCAGATTGAGTTGGCACACTTCCAAAAAGAGGATTTCTTCTATACCCAATCCTCAAGGTTTAGCTTAAAGCTTAAAAGTTGTTCGATAATGACACATATTTTCTCCTTTAACCATGAATGGACAACCAAGAACAATTTGCTTCCTGGATGGCCTAATTTTGGTCCTTTTTAATCATTAGTGATTGCTACACACTTTACGGTTTTCAAGGTTTCTAAAACATCTCATCATCTCCACTCGAGGCATACTCGTTCTCTTCTCCAATCTACCCCTTTAGGATCCAGCATCTTTTCTGGCACACTACCTCGTGTCCATCTCCCTTCAAGGTTCAACCTCCTCATTGGCACATCGTCCGTTATTTGACTATGATACCATTTGTAATAACTCAAGCTCATGGCTAGTATGTATTGTCTTTTTTGAGCTTTCCCTTAAGATTTTTAAAACATGTCTGCGGAGAGAGGTTTTCACATCCTTTATAAAGAATCATTTGTTTTCCTCTCCAATCAATGTGCGATCTCACCGCACCACAACACACACTCGATCGATTTTGATAAACACAAATATATATATATATATATATATATAGTTCTCTCTCTGTATATAATTATCTACCATATAACCTAGGAAAGCTAATTATCACGAAGGAACACTCTAGAAATTTGAAAACTTTAGAGCCACTTCTAAAATCTAATGAAGAAATTTGAGTCAAAGTGTGAAGAATTAGCACATGGGTCTTCGCCGCCCTTACCAAATGCTTTTTTTAAGCATTACAATGTCCACATCATCTTCCCTTTGTAACATTAATGTTCCATACTTTTCCCTTTGCTTGTATTGGAGGGAATGTTTTGCTTTGACCACAACTATAATTGAACTAGATGAGAATGCCGCCACACTAATACAACTTTATTATTGTTCGTTTTCACTTGTTATGTATCGTCGTCAGCCTCACGATTTTAAAACACATCTACTACAGAGAGGTTTATATATCCTTATAAGGAATATTTCGTTTCCCTTTCTAACCGATGTGGGATCTCACAATCCACCTTCCTTAGGGTCTTTGCTGACACACGCTCAATAACTGGTTTTGATGCTATTTGTAACAGCTCAAGCTCACCGCTTGCAGATATTGTCCTATTTTGACTCTTCTCTTCAGATTTTAAAACACGTCTGCTAGTAAAAGATTTTCCAATCTTTATAAGAAATGATGCTTCAATCCCCTCTACGGGTGTACATTGTCCGGGTTGGGTTGGGTTGAGCGATTTTTTTGATCCAACTCAAAAGTTTGGGTTGGTTGGAGTAGTAACCCAACCCAACCCGAAACTTTTTACAACTCGACCCAACCCAACCCTCTATTTTCGGGTTGGGTTGTTTTTTTTTTTTAAGTTTTATGTATCCACAATTTATAATTATTCGGATACAATCTTATATAAAATATATTAAAAATTTACAAACAAACACAAATCAATCTATAATTATTCAAAAAAAAAATAATAATAAAAAATAACGAGCGAAAATTATAACATATTAACATAGTTTGAGTGAAAATTGTGACATATTAACATAGTTTGAGTGAAAATTGTGACATATTAACATAGTTTAACCTGTCATAAAAACTAGAAAATGTCCGACATTTTTTGAAAATGGGTTAAAATAAAAAAAAAATAAGAATATATAAAAAATTAAATAAACAATCANTTTTATTAATTTAAATATATTGTATATAACAAAAAAAAAAAAAAACATATAAAAATATTTTAGTAGATAGCTCTAAACTATTAAAAAAACTAATATATATGATATATATAATATATATAAATTGTGATATAATAATTTTGTGACATTTGAATTTAGAATATAATATATATAATATATATATCTATATATATATATATTGTGATATAATAATGTTGTTACAAATAGAAAATAAATACATTTAAATTTAGAATATAATATATAATATATATATATATATATATATATAAATTGTGATATAATAATGTTATTACAAATAGAAAATAAATACATTGAAATTTATAAACAATTATAGTAAGATCTTTATATATATATATAATTTATAAACAATTATAGTAAGGTATTTTTAATATATATATATATATATATAAAAGAAAAAAAAACATGTGTTTGCCCGGATTCGAACTCACTCGTACGTCTTCTTCGACCGGCCAAAATACCAAGCTGACAAAACTTAAAACTTCTACTAAATTTGGCTCCTAAAGGAAAAAATTAGAGGAAGGCTCTCTTGCTTGTCATAAATTAAAACTTCAATTAAAAATGAAATAAGAATATTTTATTGATTCATTTTTAAATCGAATAGAGACGCCATACCCACAAACTCGAAATCGAACCAATTCAATTCGGGTTCAGAAAAATGAACCCATTCCTACCCGAAATGCTAATCCAACCCAACCCAACCCAATCTAGTTCGGGTTGGGTTGGTCCGGGTTTTCGGGTTGTCGGGTTGAATGTACACCCCTCATCCCCTCTCCAATCAGTGTAGAATCTCATATTGCCAGTTTTGCCATTTCCATTTAGTTTATGCAATTGGTCTAAACAGGACTAGAAACATAGATTATATTCCCTATTCCTGCTCCAACCATGTCTTGCCTAGTAGACATCTCTATCTAACTAGAGAGTTAACAACCAATAGGTTTCACATATCGAACAAATTCTATATAATTGTCTGCCACTCGTGTATATCTATTATATTGTCGGAGTACTTTCGTAGTTCCTACGGAGCGGAAACGATCCGATGGTCCAGATTGAAGAGAAAGGGTGGGCTTATGTTGCTTAGGTCCACACAGAAAGGACTTGTTCTTGAAGTGGGATAGACTCATCGTAAGTCAATATATATGTGATGTCCCACATTGGTTGGGGAGGAGAACAAAACACCATTTACAAGAGTGTGGAAACCTTCCCCTAGTAGACGTGTTTTAAAGCCTTGAGGGGAAGCTCAAAAGGGAAAGCTCAAAGAGCACAATATCTGCTAGCTCGAATATGAAAAGCGTTATGGCCTAGGGCTCTACCCAACCCTCTTCGAGCTTGTCTTTGACGCTCGTGTCTCCTCGTTCTCTCAAGCTTTACATATGCCTCGATTTATTTTCAATGCACACGGTTGGTGTGTTGGATGATGCACCATTCTCCTCGGTCGCATCATGACACTTCTTAATCTTTGCTCAAACATGGCCACATGGGTGCCATTTGAGGGTCGCCTCTTGTCTATCTTAGCGTGTGGGGTCAAAACCTATTTATCTCAATGATACTCTTCCTCACTTAATCCAGTTATGGCTGACGTTTTTGGAACACAATTTCTATAATGACCTTGATTTATGAATTTACCTAAAAAACCAAATTAAAATAGAGTTCATTTTTTAAAATTAAAATTAAAAAGCTTTTGAAACTAATTTAATAAGCCAATTAAGTTCTTTAATTTATGTTAATGGAGTAATTAAAAGACTTTTATGGTCTTAATTTTCTAATTAACTCCAACAAAATTGGAAAATGGAGACACAGAGATAAGGGCGTCTCTAATTAATTAAGCATATTATATTTCTAAAATAAAAAATATTTAACCAATATTAAGAAAGAATTTGTATGACAGATATAAAATAGTTAATTATTATTAGTTATAAAATTAATTTGATTTAATTAATAATGTTTAAAATTATGATATATCTCTCCTAAATAATTAATTAATTATATCTAAATAATCAATGACTCGTTCTTTTACATTAAATATATGTTCGGTATTTAGATTTCGAACCTAAACCCTAAATAATTATATGGACGTAGTTGTACTATAACAATCGTCACGTTCAATAAATTTTAAACGAAAAAGGTTCGAGATGTTTAGAGATGCCTTTCGAAATTCTAGATTTAACCTAAAATTTGGGTTCGAGGCAGGCCAAGCCTCTCGAACCTAGCTAGCCATATTGTTTGGAATTAATGAGGCAGGTCGAACCTAAGTGTATGGAATTAATGAGGCAGCGCACCATCCAAAGGCTTAAGAGACCATAATTTCTTGCCTTTTTTCTCTCTTCTTTTCTTTATTTATATCTCTGTTTTTCCCTCTGCAACTGCAACCCATCTCTTCTTCTTCTTCTTCTTCTTCTTCTTCTTCTTCTTCTTCTTCTTCTTCTTCTTCTTCTTCTTCTTCTCTTTGCTTCCGTTCGTCAATAATGGAAGGAAGTAATTCAATCTCCACCGTTTCGTCTACTCCACTATCTCAATCTCCTTCTTCTTCTTCTTCTCCCGCTTCACCGCCGCCTCTCGTTCTTAGTCCTTGTGCGGCATGCAAGATTTTGAGGCGGCGATGTGCCGGACGATGTGTATTGGCGCCCTATTTCCCTCCCACTGAGCCGGCGAAGTTCGCCATCGCTCATCGAGTTTTTGGCGCGAGTAATATCATTAAATGCTTGCAGGTCTTTTTTCATCCGCCTTTTATATTCTGTGAATTCGTTGATATGATCGCTGTTTTTTTTTTTTTTTTTTTGTTTTAACTTTGAATTGACGATCGATTAGTTTGGAGGCTCTTATCAATGAACTAGGGCTGAAAACAATCGTTGATTTGTTATAAACTTTGAAACTAAGGGCCTTGTTACTTCCTTCTTTCTTTTTTCGCGTTGATTTGTGTGTTAATGTGAAACGTAATCGGAAAAGCCATTAAAGGAGGCTCCAACGTTGTTGTCAAAAAGGAGGCAAAAGGTTTTACACATTAAGAAACTACGCAACTGGAAAAAGGATTTTTCTGAAATTGACTTTTCTCAAGATCTTGTTGAATTAAATCCCTAAATTATTTGTTCAATCGACGCATATAGGACTTTTCCATCGAACATTTTGTTTGTTCCTAAACTTTCTTCGTGATGTCTTTTCAGCTACTTAACCTAATAAGTATCTCAATTTCTATCTCTAACTTGAACATTATATTAGAGTATGTTTATAATATAACTTTTGAAGTATGGAAATTTGAATACAACATTCTGTTTGATTCTGTTTGATCTGATTCCATTGGGCTTCAATTCTCTAGATTCCCCCATTTTGTTGCGAACTGAAATTGTTTGTTGGGGATAATTGCAGGAACTGCCTGAATCACAAAGGGCCGATGCAGTGAGCAGCATGGTTTATGAAGCAAATGCGAGGATCAGAGACCCTGTTTATGGATCAGCCGGGGCCATTTGCCAACTCCAAAAGCAAGTCAATGATCTTCAAGCGCAGCTAGCCAAGGCTCAGGCTGAGCTTGTCAACATGGAATGCCAACAAGCCAATCTGGTGGCCTTCGTTTGCAGGGAATTAGCTCAGTCTCACTACAAGTGTTTTGATGATTTCAATGCCAGCACTCACAGCGACTTCCATAGCATCACCCAAACCAACTTCGATGATAATAGCAATGTAAACCAACTATGGATTATCTGATCATTTGGTTTGTGCATCTAAGGTGTTTGATAAAAGGTTCCAATGAATTTTCACCAAACTCTTGAGCCAATTTCTGCTTCAAAAGGAGGGAGATTAAATCTCTCTATCCTCAATTCCTCTGTTAGGCCCAAAAAAAAAAAAAAAAAAAAAAAAAAAAAAAAAAAAAAAACTGATGGTGGGTAGTTGAAAAAGAAAAAGAATAAACAATGGTTTCGCAAGGAACATGCCAATAAAGTAAGTGTGAGATCTAAATCCAAGAAAGATAACTTGNAAAAAAAAAAAAAAAAAAAAAAAAAAAAAAAAAAAAAAAAAAAAAAAAAAAAGGAAAAGAAAGGTAGATGCCATGTATACCAATTGCTTAAACCTCTCTCCTATGAGATAAAATATTCATTTAAACCCAGATATTTTCAAGTTTAATGTTCATATTATCGTTATAAAGTAAAATGTCGATCAAATATAAGCTATTACAAAAAAGGGTCGAATATAGTTTGAAAGTTTAAATTTTTGCTCCCATATTTGCTATATTAGAAAAACTATAATCTTTCATCTAGCACAAACAATTTTTAACTTATAAATATTGCAATTATACCCTTTAACTATAAACTTATTCTCGATCTTAAAGTTCTTAATGAACTTTTTTTTTTTTTACATAATAGTTTTCAATTTTGATGGAAGGAGAAAAATTAGATCAAATTATAATGATTCTATAATTCAAAAGTTTGACCGTGGTAATATTTTTTAAAGTGGATCAAATATACACAGAGTTGTAATTTTTTTAATCAGAAAATAGTTCTAAAAACGCATATGAAAATTTTCTAACGAAATATATATTCCGTCTTTCAAATTTAGATTTAATGTTCATTCATCCCTAAAAATTTAAAATGAACATGTTTTAATTCCAAAGTTTGATATTCAAATTGGTTTTAAATGGTACTTCAATTGGCCGTTAACGGAATGATATATTGTATATGACTTTACGAGATGACTTATTATCTCTTCCTTTCTTTTCTTCTTCAACCTCATCTCGAGTTCTGCTCGTTATCTTCACTTACCATCCTCCTCACCCGCCACCTCGTGGGAAGAATTTTGATTTTCTCGAACTCTTTATTGACAATATCAGCATAGTTGAACCGGGTTGGCTTGGTAAAAGAAAAAGGCACCCAAAAAAAAAGCTCAAATTCTAAATTCCAACACCAATTTGCGAATTCCTCATTCATTTTATTATTCAAAATGGAAAAAGACATAAAGCTTACGCCTCATGTGTTCTACACTTCAAACTATTTGAATTCAACAGCAATCTTATGTTTCTGTTTTTTTTTTTATTAACGTTCACATATATTATTTATAGCATATATCTTAGATATTATATTTTAATATTCTTCTATTTATGATTTGATTTAGAGTATATTTTATTTTATTTTCGGTAATTAATTATTTTATATTTTCCTCATTTATACTTCTTGTTTCCTATTTAAAGGATATCAATATTATATATACCTTCCCAATTCTATTTTCTATCTCATTTTTAATAATTAATAAACATAAAAATTTTAAAAATAATTTATTTTTTATCCTATAGATTTAAAATAGAATATAATTTTTTTTATTTTAGATTTAAATTTTTGACGTTTTAATTAAAAAATGTTTTTTTAATTCGTATTAAACTAAAAAATAGCTTTTAATAAAGTTTAATTCTTTCTTTCATCTTTACATTTATCTTTCCAACAAACTTTCCGTACTTACTTTATTCTTATATTATTACTTTTTAAAACTTTTTCTATACTTATATTATATTTTATTTTAAAATTAGTCCAATTTTGATTTATTCCCGATCATAAACTAATAATTATTTCAATTTAAAACTAAACTTTCATTAAGTATGTTGATTTTAAAACGTGTCTACTAAGAAGATGTTTCACACCCTTATAAAGAATGTTTCGTTCCCTTTCCAACTAATGAGTAATCTCACAATCCACAACACTTAGGAGCTCAACGTCCTCTCTAGCTTATTGCTCGGTATCTTTCTCTAATATCATTTGTACCAACCTAAATCCACCACTAGTAGATATTGTCTGTTTTGGCTCGTTGGCACACCATTTGGTGTTTGACTCTAATACTATTTGTAACATCTAAAATCCATCACTAACATATATTGTCCACTTTGACTCGTTATGTATCACCGTTAGCCTTACGATTTTTAAAACGTGTATGTTAGAGAGAGGTTTCCACACTCTTATAAGAAATGCTTTATTTTTCTCTCAAACCGACGTGAGATCTCACCACCATGAGGGCCCTCCAATGTCCTCGCTGACACACCCAAGCTCACTATTAGTAGATATTGTATGTTTTAGCTCGTTATGTATCATCGTTAGTCTCACAATTTTAAAACGAGAAATGGGGTTAAAGAACCCTAGTGGCCATTAATTTGTAGTACTAAGATTGTCCAAATAAAGTCAAAGTTTGAGTCAAACAAAGCTTCTACCTTTGGTTTCCTGTTTATTTATTTATTATTATTATTATTATTGTCCGCTTTTGTTGATGACATGTTTGAATAAAAACATGATTTTTGTTGGTTTTATTTATGGAAAAAATACTGTCTGTTTTTTAACAAAGACTTCTTTCTTTTCCTATTTAAATGTAACATGTAATGAAGCCTTTATTTAATTAATTAATTTATTATTTATTTATTGAAATGGAATTTGCATAATTTTGAATTCAACTTTGGGTGAAGAGAGCACTAGAGATGTTATTTTATATTTTAAATTATTTAAACTACATTTGTTTTCAATAATTAAATAATTAAATTAGATTTTATTTTTAAACTTTATATTCCTTTTAAAAAATTCTAATAATATATATTTTTAAAAATTTTGTATTAAACTTTAATTTAATATTTAATAAATTCAAAAATTCTTAGACTTCTATATTAGATATAAAATTTAATTTTAATAAATTATTATCGGTATTAATTAGGAAAAAAAATGATATTATACAGCAAAATGTGTACTATATTTTGTTAATAAATTATGGTAAATTTAATTTTACATCAAATTCGTTATATCTTGAAAGGATAATTGGGCCTTCACCAAGAGCCCAAGTTCCAACTCCTTACTTGGAATGGGCGGCCCAATTAAGTTTCTCCGAGGGTCCAATCAATAAATATATAATTATTTTTGTAATATAAAATTTTAAGTTTTTAGAAATTATGTTAAAATATATTATATTTTTGCTTATAGAATGATATCGGATTTATTAGTATGTGTTACCCTTTTTTTTTTAATGAAAATTATTTAATAATATATATTTTTTAATATGGAGAAATTTTTCTGGCAAAAAAACAAAAAAAAAAAAAATCAAAATTAATGATAAACATCCATCAATAACTGTGAAGTCTATCAGGAAAATCCATGGACCGACCCCATCGTCTCGATGGGTGATGAGAGGGTTACAACCTAGTGCAACCACACGCAGTCTACTAAGTAATGAAGTGAAGAGTACTTCGAGCATCCAACCCAAAAATGGCATTAAACACAAATTTAATTTTGCAATCACATTTTTCGCATCGGGATGAATCTGATGTTGTTAATATAACACATGCGGAAACAATTTGGATCTTAGGCACTTTTAGAACATCAATTATAGTAAATAACTAACCTGTTCATAAGTATTAAAACTTAATGAATTTGAATACTAACCTTTTGTAGTTCAAATTCATTTTTCCTCATGAACCGGTTTCGAATTACCACTAGTGTCTTCTCCACTATCCTCCGGCCTTAGAAGGGGATTGTGGAATCTAGTGAGTGACTAAATTTAGGAGGGATTTAATATATATGAAAGAGAACTTTGAGAATTTTCTCAAGGTCTTTTTCAAGGAAGAAGACTTTCCATGTATCATGATCACTCTATTTAAAGAGTCATGTTTGCATGTTCGTGCAAATTTGAGATCACCAAATTTTGACACTCAAAATTCCACTCAAATTTGTGGGGTTTATTTGTGAAGCATGCAAGTTTGGTCAAACCAAATTTTGACACCTCAAAATTCCACTAACATGTATTTTTCCATTAAATGAAGTCAACATTTTGACTTTCTTCATTTTAATTCAACAATTAATTTGAATAATTAATTTCAAATTAATTAAATTATTTAATTAATATTTAATATTAATTCAAATGTCAATCTCAATCAATTCCGACACATAATTGATTAAGATATTTAAAATTATTTAAATATCTCAAATTCTCTCTTTTTGTTTAATTCGTAAATAAAACAAAAATGCAGTTAAATATATCGTGTATATGTAGCGCATATTCAATAATTTGAATTCGAACACTTCGAACTCACTCGTCACACTGTTCTATGGTTTAGTCCGATATGTGCTAGCAGAGGGACCTAACGGACCTATAGATCATGGGCTCCAACGATCCAAGATTAACTGGTTAAACTCATTAACCTTGTTAACCAATATTCGTTAACTACTAGGACACTCCACTATAGCCTAGTAGTTGCACTCCCTTCACTATAGATATATTTTTGTCCATTTGATATAACCATGATTAGTAAGTCGATCATTCACAGGTTGTTCGTAACTAGAGTTGGGTCAATTAGTCGTTTTACCCCTGAAGTTACTTCTTGTTTCTTATGTCCCACTGATCCTCTTATGAACAATTAGTTTGTGGTCCAACCAGTAAACCAAATCCCTCTCAGGCCAATGAGTGGGTGGGCGCCTTGTTCAAGACCTGGAGTGAACTACCTCTCTTCTATCCCTAAAAGTGGGTAGGAGCGAATTCCATATTGCACCCCACGTCCCTAGCTATTCACCCAGTCTTACCCCTGAAATGGGAGGCCTATTGAGTTGGCGAACTCGAGCCACTCTCACCCATGCAAATCTAAGGATAATTTCGAATAAACAGAAGTTCATAGTTAGCTCAGGATTAAGATCGAGTTACCTAGGTCATCGAATGAAAAGAAAATCAGTCTCAACAGTAAACGACATTATAAAAAGAGAGCGATTTTCTTCATGGTCCGATCTTATGCAATACTTATTGCATAGGACGTCCCCACTCACATGTCTCCACATTTACAATTTAGTTATCACATTATTTATATCATATACAAAAGTGGGCCGCATCCATAATGTCCCTAGAATAAGGTACTCAACCTTATCCTTATACTATAGATCATTTTGACTATATACTTGAACTTGATCCACTTTTATGTCTCTACATATAGTTCAAGTAATCATACTATAGCCAAAATGTTCTTAGTTTATTGGATTTAGATTAATGATCGTAAAGTTCACTTTATTCAATAACAATTTTTACTGAATAAACATCAATAATAACTTTATTGAAAATAGAATATGTCTTTGTTTACAAACTATGAGTTTTAGGACATAAAACCCAACATAATCACGGTTGAAAATATGAATTTGACTCGATTTTACTTCAACTTGCTCTATTTTACAAGATTAACCACTATAAATACAAAAACCCTAAAAAATAAACTTACACAACATATTTAAATAATAATAATAATAACAAAAAAAACCTGGTGAATAAGAGTTACTCAGACTTATGCAGTTATGAGTACAATTGGGTGTGGGAGACACACCGTCCTCCTAACTCTCAAGGGCCATTGGAGGTACACCGAACACCACAAATTGGGTGGGCTCTTCCAACTGATAAACCATACCTCTGTTAGAGGAACACGACTCTCCACAATGATATGATATTGTGCACTCTGAGAATACGTTCTCATGATTTTGTTTTAGGCTTTCCTAAAAGAGCCCATACCAATGTAGTTAGTATTCCTCACTTATACACCCATCATCATTCTCTAAATTAGTGGATGTGAGACTTTCATCATCCAATAACCTCCAGCTAAAGCGTTTCAATGTTAAACAAAAAAGATAACTCTTCTCGAGGTCCCTGTTGACGTCTGGAGACTCCCTAACTTGTTTATTACCGATAGACTTATATGTATAATTGTAATGTTAGATGAACACGACTCCCCACAATGGTATGATATTGTCCACTTTGAGCATAAGCTCTCATGGCTTTGCTTTGGGCTTCCCAAAAGGCCTCATACCAATGGAGTTAGTATTCCTCACTTATAAACCCATGATCATNATGTTAGATGAACACGACTCCCCACAATGGTATGATATTGTCCACTTTGAGCATAAGCTCTCATGGCTTTGCTTTGGGCTTCCCAAAAGGCCTCATACCAATGGAGAGTGTATTCTTCCTAAATTAACCGATGTGGGACTTTCATCATCCAACACCTCCCCTCGAACAAAGCACATCTCCCCTTAATCGAGGCTCGACTCCTTTGGAGTCTTAGTCATTTTTGACTGCCTTCGTACCTTCGAGGAGGCTTGACTCCTTTTGGAATACTTTGTTCGACATTTAAGGATTTGTCAATCTATTGACACGGCTAAGTTTAGGGCATGGCTCTGATACCATGTTAGACGAACACGACTCTCCACAATGGTATGATATTGTCCACTTTGAGCATAAGCTNGATGAACACGACTCCCCACAATGGTATGATATTGTCCACTTTGAGCATAAGCTCTCATGGCTTTGCTTTGGGCTTCCCCAAAAGGCCTCATTCCAATGGAGTTAGTATTCCTCACTTATAAACCCATGATCATTCCCTAAATTAGCCGATGTGGGACTTTCATCATCCAACATGTAATTCACCGACGATTTCCTCATGTGTTAATATAGAGCCCAATGTGGACCCCGGCCGACCAGACCTCTCAGAATCCCGACGGGGAAGACTTAAACGCCATAGTTTCCGCGCAGCTTCGTGATCTCATGGACGCCCTTGCACTCGATTCGGACCATGAATTTTCCTATAAACTTCAAATCGAAGAAGCTCTCGACGCATCACTCGCTTCCTCTGCCTCTTCCTTCACTCCTCTGCCAGAATTTCAAGAACTCGAAGGGAATGATATCACGACAATCGGTACGCTCTACTCCGGTGAACTCGGGGAATGCGATCAAATATTCCAAGAATGGCTGCAATCGGCGTTCGACACGCGCAGGACTCACGATTCCGGGGAGATTCTAAATATTCCCGATGGTGACTTGAGTGAGCGCGAATATAGTATTGGGAAATCCTTCGGGGAGGGATCCTCGAAGAGCGAGGAGAATCAGGGCGTTTCTAGCCTCTATTTCAAGGGTCTTGTAAGTGAGGAAGGGATTGGAATTGGTGTTTCGATTTGTAATCCAAAGAATGAATTAGTCTTCGAGGTTAAAAGACGTCTTGTAGGAAACGAAAGGTGAAAAATGGTGGCTGAATGTAAGGCTTTGATCGCAGGGCTGAACGCAGCTATTGATTTGGAATTGAAGCAACTTTGTTTTTACTGCGATTACTATTCGCTTTATCAATTTGTAAGCCTTCTCTATACTTTTGTTTGTCGTTTATTCTTGAACAAATTTGTTGCAGTTACTTGTTTATCATTAGCATCCGATATGATTTCGTGCTGTTTAAAACTTTAGCTGTAATCTACAAGTAGTGCGTCGATCAAGAGACGTTTATATGAACTATCACGTGGCATGAGGCCCTTACGTTTTACTTTCATAATAGTCTGGTTTCTTTCTGTTGAGCATTAAGTTTAGGGATCATAAACTCATTCTCCAGGGTTGAATTACGACTCTCCATAATGGTATGATATTGTCAACTTACTCTCATGGCTTTGTTTTGAGCTTTCTCAAAGGGTCTCATATCAATGGAAATGATATTTCTTACTTATAAACTCATGATCAGTTCTTTAAATTAGCTAATGTGAGAATCCCTCCCACCAATTCTCAACAATCCTCCCCTCGAACAATGTACACTATAGAGCCTCCTCTAGGGCCTATGGAATCCTCGAACAACCTCCCCTTAATCGAGACTCGAATCCTTCTTTGGTCCTCTAAGGCCTATGAAGCCCTTGAACAACCTCCATTTAATCGAGGCTCTCTTCGACATTTGAGGATTCTTTTGACATGGCTAAGTTAAGGGCATGACTTTGATACCATGTTAGGAATCACGACTCTCCATAATGGTATGATATTGTCCACTTTGAGCCTAAGCTCTCATGATTTTGCTTTGAGCTTCTCCAAAAGGCCTCACACCAATGGAGATGTATTCCTTGCTTATAAATCAACGATCATTCTCTAAATTAGTTAATGTAGGTCTCCCTCCCAACCATCCTCAAACCTGTTACCTGAAATGTGATTTAGAATTCCAAAAATGTTTGATGAATAGTTGAGCTCAGGGTTAAGCTTTTCACTAGCACTTTATGTCTAGAACTACAATAAAGAATCCAACCTCATATCATTATCCCATGTGCAGGTAACTGGTAGATGGCTGCCCAAGAAGCGCAAGGTTGCCGCTCTACTCAGACAGATAACTCATCTTCAAGCACGTTTCGACTCTTGCTATCCCAGGCTCGTGGCTCGACATGATATCAAATTTGCATTCAAACTAGCCAGAGAGGCAATAGTTCCTCAGATCACACAAACTGAAGATCCTGTCCCAATGAAGCTAAATGAGACTTGTGTTATTTGTTATGAGGATTGTGATGTTAATAGGATGTTTGCAGTTGATGGCTGCTTGCATCGGTACTGCTTTTCTTGTATGAAACAACACATGGAAGTGAAATTACTTCAAGGTTTGGTGCCAAAGTGTCCGCACAAGGGTTGTATGATCGACCTCAACGTTGATAGCTGCACAAAATTCTTGACACCTAAAGATATGGCTACCATGCGCCAACATCTTAAAGAGGCTTCCATACCAGTTTCTGAGAAAGTTTATTGCCCATATCCGAAATGCTCGGCTCTAACGACAAAAGGCGAGGCCTTGGAATACACTAGAGATGTTATTGGTAGTGCCAACCAATCTGGATTGAGGAAATGCATGAAGTGTCATGGTCTTTTCTGCATCAACTGCAAGGTTCCTTGGCATAATCTCGTTTCATGCAGTGACTATAAAGGGTCAAGTAATCTGGAATTAGAAGATGTGAAATTGAAGTCCCTGGCATCGACGTGCCTGTGGCGCCAATGTGTGAAATGTAATCACATGATTGAACTTGCTGAAGGTTGCTATCACATGACTTGCAGGTAATCTTATTATTCCCATCTTACTTGAAATTCTTGCTTGGCATGAAGTTTTGACAGATTAAGTACATTTTTCTGCACACCAACTTGAATTTGATTGAAGGATAGGAATCAAAATAGTAATATGAATGCCTACAATACCTGCAAGTTGTCTAAACCAAATCTAGTTTGCACTTGTTCATTTCTTCATCCAACTTTGAGTTGATCACAAAATCAACTCTTTGCTCATATTTTCATTGCAGATGCGGTCACCAGTTTTGCTATAAATGTGGAGTGGAATGGAAAGTTAAAAAGGCGACGTGTTCTTGCCCGCTCTGGGGTGAGGATTGTATCTGGAATAATGATAATAATAGGGAATTGGATCTTGATGGTATATACTTAGATGAAGAAGAAGAAGAAGAAGAAGAGTTTTATGATTCAGATGATGAACATTATTATATTTGATCAAAAAATGAGAAAGAATAGAAAAACAATCCTTCTTGTTCATCTTCAATTTGAGTCAATGATCTGATCCAACTGGGGAATTGATTTTGTGCCTGTAAATTGCCTGTTCGTAGATAGATATTGACATAGTTGAACTTTGTTGGGAGCTCTCTTTTTTTGTGTAACAGGTTTTAATCATCAATGAAATTTGCTTCCTCTCCTCCTGGTGTGAAGCTGCTTTACACATTCTGAACGTACAAACGGTAACACTTTCTTCTTCATTTCTATTCTCTACTATCTATTATTTGAGTGATATCCCAGGTTAGTTGGGGGAGTGTGGAAACCTTCTCAGACGAGTTTTAAAATTTTGAGGGAAAACTCAAAAGAAAAACTCTAAAGAGGACAACAATATCTACTAGTGGTGGAGTTGGGCTCCCCTCAAGAGAAAGCTCAAAGAGAATAATATCTGAGTTTTTGTTTTTTTTTTTAAATTTATATATGTACATGTATACATATATATACACATGTAATTTTTATATATATTAATTTAGAAATAGTTGGTGGTGTGAAACTTGACACTACTCTGGCATGTCATTTTCCAATTTGTCATTTTTTGCGTCTCGTCGTCGTCAAGTCAACTGTTTAAGAATTGTATTTATTTGGACCGGTTTAAAAAACCAATTTTTTTTTATTATTATTATAACAAAAACTATATATGTTTGATAATAATTTTTTATTTTTTATTTATTTTTTAAATAAGAGAGATGAAGAGATGTTTAGAGAGAGAAAAATGTGTGGAGGCATGAAAATAAAAATAAAGTTTTAGAGAAATATTATTACGTAAGTTATAAGAAAAAGGAAATTTTAGAAGGAAATATTTTATTTTAAGAGAGATAAATTGGAGATGAAAGTTAAATAAATAGAAAAAAAAAAAGAGATTTTGAAAAATAAGAAATTTTTAAAAGAGGAAAAAAAATTAAAAAAATGAGTTTTTGAAAAATATAAATCTGTTTTTATTAACTTTTTTTTTTCTTTTCCTGGAAATTTCTTATGGTTTCGAAGGCGGTTTTGGCACTGGAGTATCAAATTATTAGTCCCACATTGAGTAAATTAGGAGAAAATTATGTATTTATAAATAAAAAAACATCATCCCTGTCGATTAAGGTAAAACAGTCGATCACTGTAAAACAGTTGAGAGAAATAGGAGAGGGCGTGATAGATTTTTGTAAGGCATTGGTTTCTATCGTGCCGTTTTGCGTTGCCGCTTATTTAATAATATATAATAGACAGAGTCTTCTATTTTTTTAATGTAGTTGTTGAAGGAAAGGAAACTACAATGGCTTTCCACTAAGCAAGCAATTGTAGACTCACTTGTAAGCGCAGCCACTTCCACTCCGAATCCGTATCTTTTTTAACAGCGCTTCTCCGTCGGCATCCATGGTGGATGGGACAGTAATCCTTGATTCCGGCCTAGATGACGATGAACTCGCCTACGACCTCCAGTTGAAAGAAGTCATTGCCCTTTCACAGACCCAGTTTTCTCCCCCTACTTCCTACTCTCCTCCACCATCGGCTTCATCCCGATCGTCGCCCTTTCTCGACGACGATAACGAGATGCGCTATGCGACTAACCTATGGACGTATCTGACCTCCGATGACGACCGGATGGGGTACGATTATCGGATGCCCTCTGATACGGACGTATCTGCTCTCCTCGATCCTTTATTTGATTCTGAAAGTTACAGATTGTATTTCAAGGGTTTGGTCGGCAAAGAGACCGCCGGAGACGTAACGATCATTGCGGTGGCTGTTTTCGATTCGAGAGATGATTTATTGATACATGTGAGGAAGCCATTGGAAGCTGCTCGAGAAAACGAGGCCGTCAGTCCCGAGGTTGCTGAGCTTATGGCCTTAATCGAAGGGCTTGAGGCGGCTCGTTCCCTTCACTTGGAAAGAGTTTCCTTCTTCTGCGATGACTATATGCTTCACCAATATGTGAGTTAGCGTACATTTCGAGCAAACATTATGAAATATTTGATTCTGCCCTCTCATGTTCTTGTTCGTTTTGCTGTAGATGTTAATTCTGTTCTTGTTCATTGTTGGATTGTTCCGGGCCCTGATTGTGTTCATTGTTAGATTTCATAGCATAAACATTATAACATTTGATTCTGCCTTTTCATGTTCTTGTTCATTTGGCTGTAGATGTTAATTCTGTTCTTGTTCACTGTTGGATTGTTCCAATCCCTGATTGTGTTCATTGTAAGATTTCGTAGTATAAACATTATAATATTTGATTCTGCCCTTTCATGTTCGTGTTCATTTGGCTGTAGACGTTAATTCTGTTCTTGTTCACTGTTGGATTGTTCCAATCCCTGATTGTGTTCATTGTTAGATTTCATAGCATAAACATTATGGAATATTTGGTTCTGCCGTTTCCTGTTCTTGTTCATTTTGCTGTAGATGTTAATTCTGTTCTTGTTCATTGCTGGATTGTTCCAAGCCCTGATTGTGTTCATTGTTAGATTTCGTAGCATAAACATTTAGTCCTATCAGTGATTGATTACCGAATGCAGGTTACAGGCAGATTACGGCCAAAACTGAGCAAGATTGCAAGTTTAGTCGAAAAAGTAGCTTTTCTACGAATGCAATTCTCTTATTGTGAACCCTTTTTGGTAGAACAAAATGTCATGAAGAGTGCCTTTAAATTAGTAGAACAAGCCACAGCTTCTCAGATCACCTTGCCTGATGCAGAAACTAGCAATACCCATCACTTGCTAGAGAACTGCAAGATTTGCTATGTAGATAACGAATTGGATCAAATGTATACTGTTAATGACTGCCTTCATAGATACTGCTTCTCTTGCATGAAAAAGCATGTGGAAGTGAAGTTTCTTGATGGATCTGAGGCAAAATGTCCTCATGAAGGCTGTAAATCGACAGTGGGTATTGAGAATTTTGAAAAACTTTTCCCCCCAAAAGTAATTGAAATCATTCATCAACGCTTCAAAGAATCTTCCATCCCTTTTTCAGAGAAAGTTTATTGCCCACAACCCAGATGCTCTGCTTTGATGTCGAAGACTGAAGTTTTGGATTATACAAAAGACATTCTTGGAAATGCAGAGCAATCTGGAGCTAGGAAGTGCATGAAATGCCATGGACTTTTTTGCATCAAATGCAAAGCCACTTGGCACAACGACATGACGTGTGAGGAGTACAGGAAGTCAAGCCATGGCACTCATACGGAAGACGCAAAGCTGAATTCTCTGGCCAAGGAGAAGCTCTGGCAGCCATGTCTGAGATGTGGCCATTTGGTTGAGCTTGCAGAAGGATGCTTCCACATCGTTTGCAGGTTTGCTTTCTTCTATCTCCTCTTGCATTTCCTATGCTTGCAGAAGGAAGTTACCTCATTATTTGCTGATGTTCTTCAGATGTGGACATGAATTCTGCTATTCCTGTGGAGCTGAGTGGAAGAACAGGCAGCCAACATGTTTGTGTCCGATGTGGGATGAACATCTTATCTTAAATGATGAACAGTAATGGATGAATGTTAGGGAGATTGCTTGAGGAATTCAGGGCGGATTATAGGTTTCTCTCTAATCTTAGTGATCATCATATCTTTTTACTATTAATTACAACATTGATTTGACTGTGCTAAGCTTAATAATTACATTCTTATAAGGCAATAATATATATCCTTGAGTCGCCCAAACTCATTCTTAATCGATATTGTTAGTTTTGGCTACTTATGTATCGCACGCGTCTATTAAAAGATGTTTTCACACCTTTGTAAAGAATGTTTCGTTTTCTCTCCAATCAATGTGGATCTCACAATCTACCTCTCTTTGGAGTTCAACGTTCTCATTGACACAGTGTTGGGTGTTTGATTTTAATACCATTTTGAATAGTCGAAGCCTATTGCTAACATATATTGTTAGCTCTTACCTATTATGTATCACCATTAGCCTCACAATTTTAAAACTGTTTATTAGGAAAGGTTTTCACACCCTTATAAAAAAAAATGTTTTGTTCCCATTTCACAATTCACTCCTTTTGGGACCACCAACGTTCTCATTGGCACATTGCTCTAACAGCTGCATTTTTCAAATTATGAAGCTAACGGCGATGTATAACGTGTTAAAGTAAACAATATTCACTAATAGTAAGTTTGGATTGTAACACTTTTTCTAATATTTACTAGCGGAAAATTTAGATAGTTACATTTTTACTTGTATGTGAAGTGGATAAACATTTATGTCTTTTTCTCAGTCATTTATAACCATTTAGTCTTTACCATTTATAGGCATATTATTTGGTTTACATCGGTGAAAAACATTAAATGTTAAGAAATATTATAAATTTTAAATTAAAGAGATTGAGTTAATTAAGTTTTTGTATATTAAATTTTAGAGATGAAATTGTTATATACTCCTAAAGTATATGACATTAAATCAAATATCAAATAACATTTAATGACTAAATTATTAAATTTTGAAAAATTAGTAATTAAAAGGTTCGGATTTGGGGACCCGAATTGCAAGTGGGCATTAATATTAAATGCAAGGGGAAATTTAGAGCAATTCCGTGGGAAAAAAATGGGCGGCGGTTTTGTCGGGTAGCGACTGATTTGATCTGTCCAATAACCGAGGAGACTGGTGGTCGTCGGTGTCGCCGTCGCCATCGCCACCTCCACTCACGGTTTCTTTCACCGGATCTGCATCAACCTTCGCACTGCCTTCAATATATATTCCTTATTCCTTAATATTTAATATTTTTAGTTTCTCCAAAATATATATATATATATATATATATTCCTTTTAGCTTCCCAAAAAAATTGTTCTTTTTAAAATTTTATATAATTTAATTAGATTTCTTTCTATTTCAATACTGTGCATAATTTAGAAATAAAGTTGAATTTAGTAATATTTTTTTGGTTAATTTAATAAAGTTTTCTTTTGGTAGGAATTTTGTCATATTCTTAAACTTTTCTAAGTAACAATTTTTTTATTTAAAAAAACAAATTA